CCCAAAAAAAAAAAAAAGCCAGTCTGCAGTGAGGAGAGGATCAACCGATGCGCAGACAATGAAATGAAATATAAATGCACACGAGGAGACAAAAGAGTCATCACACGCTGGAATTATGTGAAATAGCAGGTGGGGAAAAGGTGCGACAGCGGAGCCGCGCGCGTGCACGCCAACGTCTTGCTCTCTCGCGCGCGCACATCCAGTCAAGCCGTTGCTCCGCTCTCATCAATAATGCATCGACACTTCATGTTTATGCAGTTCCAGGGCAAGCCCGAGCTGCAGACCCGGATCAGGCAGATGGTTTTACATGCCCATCCCGGACAGCTCTCTCTCTCTCTCTCACACACACACGCGCACGCACGCACATGCATTTTGCTTTACCGCCTGTGGATGAACAGCTTAGGAAAAAAAAAAAGAGACAAACAGACTTCAGCACATACCTGTTCTGATCCTGGCTTTCTGCAGGCTTGAAGGGCTCATGATAACAGCGCTAAAGCTGCGCTCATATGCAAATTAGCGACTCGAGCTGATCGCAGGGGGCATTTATTATTCATAAATTACTCATGTTTATGCAAATGAGGGGGCGGAAACACTGGTGGGGGTTGAGTGGCTCAGTGTAATAAACACATACTGGCTGATGTTGCACTCTTTCACCCCAAATGAGCCAGATCCAAACATTTGACCAATATTAGCTGCATGGTTCCGAATTATTATTATTATTATTATTATTTTATTAAATGTAAGCCAAAGGGGGGGGGGGGGGACTTGTCTACTGTTCATATATAGAGAGAGGGGGAGGAAGTTATGGTATTTATTAGTAATTAATAAATTAATAAGTTATAACACTGTTGATTAGATCTTCCTTTTATTATCTAAATACCAACATCTTTAAATTAAAACATAAAAACACAAGAACCAAAACAAGTAATAATAAACACAAACTCGTTAGTTTAATTATACGAATGTGGAGTTTCTCTCTAAAAAACAAACACTGTTGTAATAACATTTCTTGTGAGGGTAAAGGACCTAAATAAAGATTTGTTAAAATTAAATTGATTTCATTTTTTAAAAATGTAGGACTAAGAGGATTGTGAAATAGCCCCACCTCCTCCCACAATAAATAAATAAATAATAATAAATACTTTTATTAATGTTTCTTCATTGCCGCACTTGTCGGAAAACGTTCAACACACAGAGGTGAGATTTGAGTGCGCGCTTTGTTCAAAACTTTCGGTAAACTACGTCATTAAATAAGGACAAATATGTCGTCATAATCAGTCGACGCTCCTGGATTGTATATGGAGAAGTTTTCCGGCTTGTTTTTGCGCTCGAGGCCCGTGGTTTCGAAGATAAATCAGAATTTGAACCGACTGTTTGTAGCACATATCTTTTATCTTTCTACAAAGTCGTCTTTGAGCCGAGTGATGAATAATTAGACACGAAAATGTAAGATAGTTTAATGTTTTATGTTTTCACTGACCGTTTGCTCGCTGAAGTTCGTTTATCCATGTATCATGCGCTTATATTTTCTGTTTGTGTTTTGTGATCGCAGAAAGTCGCCATGTTTCACAACAGCTCACAGAGAAAATACTGGACCTTTAAAAGTGAGGATGAGTTGGAACAGATGAGAGTCGGCGCCAATGAGAAATTCCGTAAAACGGTTCTTGAAACTGGGAAGGTAGGTAACAGAAATGTGGCGTATTCGACTCCAAGACAGAGCCATGTTCACTTGTTGGCTGTTTGTTTCTGCACCAGCCTGGTGTAAGTTCCTCCATGTTGTTGGAGCGTTATGAGGAGGACGTTTTGTTCCGTCACTATGAGAGGAGGATGCTCGACTTCTGCAGCGCCTTTAAGCCTTTGATGCCCAAATCAGTAGTGGTATGTGTCGCGCGCACGTTCTGTTTCCCCCTCATGTGCACGTGGTTTGGAGAACTGAACCACATGTTTCTCCTCCTCGCAGGGAACAGCCCTCATGTACTTCAGAAGATTCTACCTGAACAACTCCATCATGGAGCACCACCCCAGGATCATCATGTAAGTGCTGCTAGTTGGGAACAGGTCTTTTAAAAACTACAACTTCCTCCAGAGCACTTATGTGCAGAAAGCAAATACAAATAAACTAAAAATAGTTTTGCTAATTATTCGTGTTTTGTTTTTTAAATAAAGCTTCTACAAGAATCTGCTCAACTTTGCTTAATCAAGAATAACATTTTCTTTGTCGGTCTTGTGTAAATGTATATTTTCTGTTGGGTACCCTAAATTTTACTTGTGAATTAAAGGTGCCCTCCCAAATGTACAAGTTTATTCCCCAACTCCTTTCTCATCTGTTGACATATTTGTGTTTTAATCATTACAACACTTCCTTTTAATGCCTTTCCTCCAAGTTGTATACATGCTGCTGCATTCAAACTGAACATCAATGATTAGTTTTCTCTATTATGCTATTTTTAGGTGGTAACTGGGAATCTGGGATTATTCTCAAATCGTTGTTTTATGTGTGCATGTACGTGCACTAAATCAGTATGTTGTACACAAACCAAATGACAGTGTAAATGTTGGATTTTTTTTTTACTTTTACAATCAAGTTCATTGTTACCAGCTGTAGAATTGGGTCAGATTGACACTTTGAAAGCGAGATTTTTTTGCAACTTTCTTGCTTGGACTGGGAAGGGAAGAAGAAGGGCGCGGCGGGAAATTTTTGAAAGTTTGAGATTTTTGTATCCATATATTTCATTTTTCTTTTTGAATTTAGTGGTTGGCATAAACTGGAATGCGACTGGATCGGGATGACTACTCAGGTAGATTACAACGAGGATATGGATTTTGATGACTGGACTCCGGTAGGTAGAGGAGGAGGAAAAGGTAAGGGCAAAGCTGTGAGAGATGACAGAGAGCTTGGCAGCCATAGAAATAAGAGAAGCCTTGAAGAGTGTAGTTCAGAGGATGAAAACAGACTGGTTAGAAGGAAAGTGATAAATGAGGAATTTAAAGTCATACTTAAATTCAAGAAAGAAGATGAGAACATGAATCTAAGCCCTATAGCGATATCTAAAGATATAAAAAAGAAACTAGGTGAGGTGGAGTTTGCGAAAATGCTGCGTGATGGGAATCTGTTGATCAAATGTAAATCTGAAGAACAAAAAAAATAAAGCTATGCAGATTGATAACATTTGCAAAAAGGTTGTTAGTGAAAAGAAAATTATTGGAGAAAACAAGGTATCACGTGGGGTTATCACTGGTATTCCACTTGAGGAAGATCTGGAAAAACTTAAAAGAAATATTCATGATGTAGAAATATGCAATTTGAAAAGGTTGTTAAAAACTGTAGATGGGAAAAGGATTGAGAGTCTCTCGGTACTTTTAGAGTTTAAAGGCGAAGCTCTTCCTGATAAAATAAAAATTGGTTTCATGTGTTTTCCTGTCAGGCCTTACATCCCTCCTCCTCTGCGCTGTTACAAGTGCCAAAGATACGGTCACATTGCAGCAGTGTGCAAAGGGAAGCAAAGATGTGCAAAGTGTGGTGCAGATCATAGGTATGATGAATGTGGGAAAGATGTACAGTTGAAATGTTGTAACTGTGGAGGTCAGCATAGTGCAGCGTATGGGGGATGTGAAGTAAGGAAGAAGGCAGCAGAAATACAGCACATAAAAACTGTTAAAAACATTACTTATGCAGAAGCAACAAAAAAGGTGCAAGAAAAAAGAGCAGTGGGCCTACAGGGAAATCCTAAAGTTCCTCCTAGTCCAAAATCTGAATCCAGTCAAAGAGCAATGACAGGAATGGAAATTACAATGGATAAATTAATTCTGTTCATGGCTTATGTTATTAACTGCACTGATCAAGTGAAGCAAAAAACTGAAAAAATCAAAATCATAGTAAAAGGTGCAGAGAAATTTCTGTCTGTGAAGGATTTATCTTGGGAATCGATCAATAAAAAGCTAGAAACAGATGGAAAACTGGGCGAAGGAAGAATATAATGATTATTCTTCAATGGAATGCAAGGAGTTTATTAGCTAATGGTCAAGAATTTAAAGGATATTTAAACAATTCGAAAAGAAAACCAGACATAATTTGTGTTCAAGAAACATGGCTCAAACCAGAATTAGATTTTGTGATAAAAGGGTACGACAGTATTAGAAGAGACAGGGAGCAAGAGAGTGGAGGAGGATGTATAATATTTATAAAACAAGGAATACAATATAGATATTTAGAAAAAGGAATAACATTAGAATGGATATCTGTAGAAATTTGGATTAATAAAGAAAGTATTAAAATATTAAATTTTTATAATCCCTGTAAAAAACTTTATTTAGATCAAATGGAGGAAATGTTTAAAAATATTGAAGGAAAAGTAATCTGTTGTGGAGATTTTAATGCTTACAGTACTTTGTGGGGTAGTAGTAATGATGCTAATGGAGAGGTGGTGGAAGAAATAATGGATCTAAAGAATTTAGTTTGCCTTAATGATGGGGAGGGGACAAGATTCAATATTAGAAATGGATCTGAATCAGCATTAGATTTAACTTTAATTTCAGAAAGTCTTGCTGGGATTAGTAATTGGCAAGTATTAAAAGAATCAACTATAGGAAGTGATCATTATCCTATATTCATTGAAATCGGTTTGGAAATGGAAGCATTTGACAATGAAGGTGTAGAAAGATGGATCTTTGGAAGTGCTGATTGGGAAAAATATAAAATAATAAGTGATAAAGAAATGCAAATAGTTAATATTGATTTAGATATTGACAATTTAAATCTTTCTATTTGTGAAGCCATTTTAGGTGCTGCACGTGAAGCAGTCCAAAGAAAGAGAGGAAAATATAAGAAGAAAGTCGTACCGTGGTGGACAAAGGATTGTGATGTAGCAATAAAATCTCGAAATAAAGCTTTTAGATTGTTAAAAAGAAATCATAACTTTCAGAATTTTATTGAATATAAAAGGTTGCAAGCTCTTGTTAGAAGAACTGTAAAAAATGCAAAAAAGGTTTATTGGGGAAACTTTTGTAATTCGGTAGGTAGGGAAACAAACATTTCAAAAGTTTGGGGGATGATAAAACGAATGAATGGGTTTAGAAGAGAATATGGATATCCAGTTCTGAAGGATGGAGATGTTACTGCTGTAACAGAGGAAGAGAAGGCAAACATTTTGGTCAATCATTTTGTTAAAATCCACAATAGTAGTAATCTAAGTACAGAAGAGAAACAGAGTAGAAATTGTACAATCAATGAAAATATTCATTTATTAAAAGAAAATATAAGATCCACTGACTTATTAAATGCTCCCTTTTCCTTTTTTGAACTGAATAATGCCCTTAGGAAATCAAAAAACTCATCTCCAGGAAATGACAATATCTCTTACATTATGATTAATCAGCTTAGTAATTCATCTAAAAAAGTTTTACTGGAATTATATAATAAGATCTGGGAATTAGGCTTTTTACCTAAAGCATGGAAAGAAGCAATCATAGTTCCAATCCTCAAGTCAGGTAAAGAACGATCAAACCCAGCCAGTTATAGACCTATAGCTTTAACTTCACATTTATGTAAAATTATGGAGAGAATGATAAATGAACGACTGACTTACTTTGTTGAGAAGAGGGGATATTTATCAAGATTCCAAAGTGGATTTAGAAAAGGTAGAAACACTATGGATCCTGTTTTATGTTTAGAACATGAAATCAGGAAAGGACAAGTTAATAAGGAGAGTGTGGTGGCTGTCTTTTTTGATATAGAGAAAGCTTACGATATGATGTGGAAGGAAGGTTTATTAATAAAACTAAAAAAGATGGGAATAAATGGTTCAATGTTTTATTGGATAAAAGATTTTTTACAAGATCGATCAATACAAGTGAGAATAGGAAAAACATTTTCAGAAAAATTTTTGGTTGAAAATGGAACTCCCCAAGGAAGTATATTGAGCCCATTGTTTTTTTCTATTATGATTAATGATATGTTTGAAAATTTGGAGAATGGAATGGGGTTTTCTTTATTTGCTGATGATGGGGCAATCTGGAAGAGGGGGAAAAATTTAAATTATATTGTAAAAAAGACACAAGAAGCAATTAATGAAATAGAAAACTGGTCCTTTAAATGGGGATTCAAAATTTCTATAGATAAAACGAAGACTTTATTTTTTACAAGAAAAAAGGTATCAGAAAATGTAAAATTGAAAATATATAATCATGATTTGGAAAGGGTAAACCAATTTAAGTTTTTGGGTATATGGTTAGATGACAAACTTACTTGGAAAGTGCATATTCAAAACATAATAGATAAATGTAAGAGAGTGTTAAATGTAATGAGGTGTTTGGTGGGGAGTGAGTGGGGAGCTGAGAGGAAAGCACTGAAATCAATATACACAGGTTTAATTAGGTCCTTATTTGATTATGGCAGTATAGCATTTGGGTCAGCATCAGATACATTACTCAAAAAATTAGATAATATTCAGCATCAAGCCTTGAGATTATGTACAGGTGCCATCAGAACAACTCCAACATCAGCTTTACTGGTGGAAATGGGAGAAATGCCACTTCAGCTTAGAAGATTACAAATACTTTCAACTTACTGGTGTCAGTTAAAAGGTCATAATGGAAATCATCCATGTCAAGAGATTTTAAAACCTAGCTGGGAAAAAGAGAAAAAGAAATTAAATTCATTTGGCTGGACTGTAGAAAACATTATAAAAGATTTAGATATATCTCACATAAATATTAGTCAAACAGTTCCTCAGTCTCCAGTTCACCCATCTCTTTTAAGTAATAGTGATGTTGATCTCACTTTGTTGGAAAATCGTAAAAAAGAAAACATTTCAGATTCTCATTCAATACAAACATATTTAGATAGTAAGTATTATGGATATGTTAAAATTTATACAGATGCATCAAAAAATTCAGATAACAGTAGCGGGGTTTCATTCATTGTTCCAGAATTCAGTTTCAAAACAGGTAAAAGAATTACTGATGGAGTCTCAGTCTACACAGGAGAGATGATAGGAATCATTTTAGCTCTGGGATGGATTGAGGAAGTTCGTCCATTAAGGAGTATAATATGTTCTGATTCAAGTTCTTCATTATACTCATTGAAAAATAATCATTCAGACAGCAGACCTGACCTTTTATTAGAAATTCAATTATTAATTTATAGAATTCAAGCGATGGGTTTATTAATTACATTTATATGGATACCATCACATATAGGAATAAAAGGAAATGAGTTGGCAGATAAATATGCAAAACAAGCAACAAAAAATACTTACATTGATATACTGGTACCATTCAGTAAAGGAGAAATCAAATCAGTTATTAAACAAAAGGTGAAGGAAAGATGGCAGAAACAGTGGGAAGAAGAAAGAACTGGCAGGTGGTTTTATAACATTCAAAGGAAAGTTGGTGTGATGAGGAGAACAGGACGAAATAGAAAGGAGGAAACAGTCATATCCAGATTACGTTTTGGCCACACAAGATTAAACAGTACATTGTTTAAAATGGGAAAACATCCTACAGGAAAATGTGACTTTTGTTTTCAAGAAGAGACAGTGAATCATGTTTTATTATTCTGTCCCAAATATTCAGCTGAGAGGAAGGAACTGGCACATAGACTACAGGTCAACAAACTACAGTTGAATATACAGGATCTTTTGGATAAACTTCTCACTTCTGAACTTGTTGTTTTTTTGTTAAGCTACCTTAAGAAGACGGAAATAATCGAGAGAATATAGTTTGTTTGTTTTTTTCTCTTATTTTCTTATTATTTTATTTAGTTAAACCTATAGTAATTATTTAGCATCCCGATCCATACTCCATTCCAGTAGATGGCGGTAATGCACATCTAAACGTTGCTTGCCAACCGCCATAAAACACAAGACGAAGAAGAAGAAGAACTTTCTTGCTTCATTCAGTGTTGACGGAATAATTTGTGTCTCACTCTTACCAGTTTTATTTTTGACAAGCAGCTCGTTAGAAGCTCTTTCTTGTTCCAGGCTGACGTGCGCATACCTGTCCTGCAAAGTGGACGAGTTCAACGTGTCTTGCACCCAGTTCGTGGGCAATCTTCTGCAGGAGACTGTTGCAGGACAAGAGAGGGTCCTGGAGCAAATCCTTGAGTATGAGCTGCTTTTAATTCAGCAGCTCAATTTTCACCTGGTCATCCACAACCCCTACAGACCCATGGAGGGTCTGCTCATTGATCTCAAGGTGGGATCTCTGTGGCAGAATGTTCACTGCTCAAACTTTAAATTGCATTGGAGTTTATTGGTTTGTTTGGTCTTGTCCTGTCTCATGTCCAGACTCGATACCCAATGCTGGAGAACCCAGAGTCACTGAGGAAAAGTGCTGATGACTTTCTGACCCAGGCAGCCATGACGGATGCAGGACTTCTGTTTCCCCCCTCTCAGATTGCTCTCACTGCTATCCTGAATAGTGCTTCCAGAGCTGGCATCAACCTGGAGAGGTGGATCATTTGTTCTTAAGTACATATATGCAACTTCACTGCCTTTATCTTTTCAAGTGTTTTTCTTCTGGAATAACTGTAACCAAGACAGGAAAATACATACTACTCTTAAAAGTATAAATACTACTCTTAAAAGTTCTATGTGATTGAACGTAAGAAGAAATGCAATAGTTTTGTTATTTGAGCCCCGTTCGTTATTTCATTTGTCTAGCTACCTGACTGAATGCTTGAAACTGAAAGAAGACAAAGAAACTCTTTTAAAGATGTACGACTCCATGAGACGTGAGTAAACGCCACCTCGTTTCTCAACCACAAGATGGTGATGCTGAGTTGTTTGAGTATTTTTTTTTTTGATGATGATGCAGGTATGAAAACCCTTCTCAAAAAATATGAGCCACCCAAACTGGAAGAGGTGAATATTTACAAACAGAAGTTGGAGAGGATCCACGCTGAACTTTCCACTTCAAGCAAGTAAGATGATATTGGAGGGGCTGTTTGTTTTTCTTACTTTACATTTCACAAATTACTGTAAAGACGACACGTTTGTACATCAAGAGTTCGAAAATCTGAAGATTTTTAAAACGTTTCCAACGAGTTCTCATCAGGATTGAAGAAATCATGTAGTTTCTGTATAATCGTCTTAATTTTACATTCTAAGCTGCCACTGAAACACATCAGCGTTTATGTAAATAGCTGTGATATGATATATTACCCACTCGTAAATAACACCAGGTATTCCTTAGTTGTATATAGTAACAGTTTTATTTCAGCCAGGTATCTAAGATGCAAAAGGTTCAGTCTCAGGTAGAAAAATAAAAAGGAATACATCATTGTCAGCTGTATGAAATACAGAAACGCTACAACTGCTACCCACATCATTCACACCACGTAGCATATCTGACACAGGTGTAGCTGGGATTTATTAGGTTGTTACTCCTCCTCCTGCAGCTGTTGACACTCGGTGAGGTCCGTGGTATTCTGAGTGCATCTACAGTAAACAGTTTGGTAAACTTCTGAGCTATGTCAGGCACAGATCCAGACTCTGTAGCTGCTTGAATCTTTAAGGAGGCACATTAGGCCAACCCGAATGACTCTGAAGTTGATAAATCTGTGCATGGCGTGGATTTTCAAAGTAGATCCGTATTTTTTTTTTTTGGGGGGGGGGGGGGGGGGGGGGGG